CACCGTTGGTGAGGATTTGACAACTATTGTCTTCCGTTATCTTCGAAGGGTCTTTGAACTTGTGCAGAGCTCCTCTGTTGGATAGATAAGAGAATTGGGGTACTCGATTTCGCCCATTCTCTTAAGAGTTGAGAAGGCAAAGGTTACTTGACTTCGTCCGCCTCCTCGAGGTTGTACTTCATGCATCGAGCTGGTTACTGGCCTTCGCCTGCTCTTTGCTCACACTTCTGAAGCACTTGAAGTGTTTGCACTCCTTGCGTTGAGTTAGTTACTGTGATTCACCTTCTCAATGCCATTGAACTTTTGGAATGCAGGAAGTTTTCACCCCAACTTGGAGTAATTCTCTGATAGATGAGGTCGCCTCTGGGATTGTACCGTCTCCTCCATCAACCCTGCCGCCTACTCCACTGAGTAGCAAAGGTACAGCACCGCGTACTGCTTGCTTCGTTCCTTGGTCGTGCACTCTTGCATGACCCGAAGTCCTTCACTTACGGCTATCTTGATGAGAAACTTGTTGACACCGGTCTTACAAAGTTTCTTGGCCTCTGCCCTTCAGCCTCGTCTCGGTACTTGGAGATTGCCTCTGCATGCTCCACCTCCTCGGCCCCTTTCACGACCAAGCGCTCTCCCTCCATGAGAGCAAGGGATCAATGACTTGCACGGAAGTCCCGCCTCTGCGGTACCATGGCGCTGCCATGCCCATGGCCCTACTATCCGTCGCCTCGCATCTGCATCCCTTTTCTTCACAATCAGTAGAGATGTCTCCGTGGCACTCCTCTGAGTCCACCTCCATTCTAACTGATTGCTTGATTTTGGGTAGCTAAGTCCCTCTGGACTCGTCGTCGCTTCCTCGCCCCTTTCGACCCCCTGCTTCAACACCTCTGTGTTTTCCAAGCAGTCCGTTTTGTCGATGGAAAGACAGACTGCAACTCCCATGCATGGCCTCTGCCATCACGTTGTAGAGTTTGCACTGATTCTGTTCTCCTTAGCTTCCTTGGTAGCAACGTTCGCTCACTCGACCTTGTCCTTTGACTTGTCGGGCACCCTTAAGCGAATATGAGCTCTGGAGTAGTCCAACTCTCCAGCTGCTTCGATCATACCTCTGCATGATCAAGTCCCTCCCATGGAACTCACTGGTACTTGCATTCGAACTTTTCCCTTAGTGGAACACAGCCCCCATATGCTGATGACCAAGGTTTTCGTTCGATGCAAAATTCGATGCACGCACGGAAGACCCGCCTCTGCGGTACAATGGCCTTCACTCCTTGAATCCATAGCCCTTCTTGCCGCCGTGTTGTTCATTGAAGTGGAGCTCCCAGTAGCTCCCGATCATACCTCCATATGATCTAGTCCCTCCCGGGACTCACTCGTGTGTATCGCATTGCCACGAACTGTTCCACCACGATCCGCTGCACCATGTCGCCTCCTGGTGACATCTCCATTGCATTCTGATCCTTGTGGAATAAACTCAAATTGTGAACCCTCCATGTGTGGCCTCTGCCAATACATCGCAGGGTCTCCTCCACCTTCGATTTTGTTCGTTCCTTTGGCAATTGACCTTCATCCACCCACTCTTGGGTCACACCTAGATGAAGCACTGCTCTAGGACAGTCCGTCGCCTAGTAGCTCCTGAAGTCCACCGACTTCACTGTAGTTTATGCACCATTGTCTGGATCCTGGGCCTCTGCCCCTACCAGCACAATCTCCGCTGCGCACCGCTTCCTTCATAGCAACTCGAATGGCAACACTGTGGCATATTCTTCAAGAGTACCCGCCTCTGCGTCCTCTTGCCCCGTGCTAAGGCCTTCTGTACCCAACTTCGCCTCCGCAAATTGAGTCGCCTTAGTTCCTCCTTCAAATGCTTCTCCGAGATAAGGTGCATGTGCCTAGAAGCTCCCTTCATCTTTGGCACCATGCAAGATGAGTCCACTCCGTCAGAATGAAGGACCCATGGAACAACATGATCCTGCTCTTGCCTCTACAAGAGTTCATGTCCTTGACCTATGTCTAAGGAAAGCACTGTGCCTCTGCTCTATGTTCCAACTTCTCTGCTGGCTCCCTTCATGCGGCTTGGGTACTTCGCCAAGTTACACCCAAGTTGCTCCGCTCCTCGTTTTTGCATTGAGTCGATAGTGGCCCTCGCGCCCACCATTCCACGGGTCAGCCCTCCCTTGAGTCCGATCTCTACATCGACTCCAAGTGTGCCTTCATTTAAGTTGCTTTAGGTCGCTCCCCCACTTGATCTCGCAATGCATCCACCAATGCATTCTCTCGAGCGAGATCTTGCGACAACTCCTCGCTGCTTGCTCGGTCCATTGAGCTTCGTGGAGTTGTTGTTTGTGAGGTACTCCTCCTCAATATGTGAAGTCCGTCTCACATGATTCTCCCTCTGGAGAGCCGAGACTTATCCCTCCTGGATAACTGTCCCGTTGGAGCAACATCTCTCTTCATTTCGGAGACCACCATCCCCTTGGACTACTCCGACTTGCTGAACAAACTGCGCATTGTTCTGCCTCTTGCAAACGCACTTCCTAGATTGCGCCTCCACGTCAATACAGCCACCGCTGCACCCCTCAAGGCCTAGCAACATGTTGAACTCGTTGCACACTTCAGCCTCCTCCGGACGTATCCTTCGCATGCCGAAGAGAAAGTTTCAATGCTCCATGGCGCCGAGTCTCGGTCGCTTTGGGATGGCCACGAACATTCCGTCGTCCGCATACAAGCCCATGCATGAGTACCAAATTCTTCGAGTTAGCAATTCCCCTCACCTCTGTGAGCTTTGCATAACTCTTTTGGTCGTTGAGCAACTCATTCCACCTTGCATGGTCTCATTCTTGCCAAGCGCCTCGCTTGCCTAGAGCACCATCAAGTATAGTTGTCAACGTTGAGCCGTAGCTCAAACTCAGCCATCCCAACCTTTGTGCGCTCCAAATTCTTTCAAGCTAGCCTGTTCTCGTGGTGCCTCTTGCGCGAAGGGTTGGCCATTCCTCTGAATGCCAATCTTAGATGCCCGCTCCTCTGAGCGACTCTTTTCCCTACATCTCCATGCCCATTTTCCCTCAAACGGTCGCGCGTGTGCTGACTGCCCTCAACGCAGCCCCGCTAGGTCCCCCACGTTTACATGTCAAGTGTTTCTATGAGTGCTTGTCCCGCTCTGATACCATATGACACGGACTTAGCTGGTTTTGCCTAAGTCGTGCGGCACCCTTGCGTGTCCGTCCGCAAAGGTCAGCCTCCCCGAAGCCTCCCATTGTCCCTTAGGACCACCAAAAGAGAGAACGGGTTAGAGAGAGCGCCTCAATCGGGATCCACAAGCAAACATGTCCGAAAAACACTTCATAGACAATGCAAATTACAAACAGAATTTACAAGCTCTGAACAGTGGCACAACAAAGGGTAAAATGGTTCATTACAGACCGAAAATCTCTCGCACGTGTCCACATGACACAACCTTTATTTACAAGCCTAAAGAGGCCACCAACCCAACTAAAATGGGACTATTAAGCCTTCGGCCGCCCCTCTACATTCTGTACAAGGTAAGAACATGCCAAGAGACACGGACATACATGAGCATTACATCAAACATCTTGTTTAGAAGTTTGTCCGTGACAGTTGGGTGGGTCACTTGCACCTTCATCGTTGGGTGGGTCCAACAGAGGTGGAGGCCTCACAGTCATCATTGCGCCTTCATAGAAGGAGGCTTTGCCCTCGATGTCCTTGGCAAGTCTGATGGGTCAAAGGGAAGGGAAAGTGGTGGAGGAGATGGTGTAAGGTGGTGATAGAAGGCGGAGGAACATTCCATGAGACTAGGAGCAAAATGATCATTTATAAAAAAGTATGGTCTATGAAATTTTTTTAAAGTTTTATAAAAAAATTCAAAGAAAAAAGCTTTTTCTCAAAATTTACCCTATATAATATATAATATATAACATGTAATGTATAATATATAATATTTAATTTGTAATATATAACGTATAATATGCAATATGTAATATATAATATAATATATAATATATAATCTATAATATGTAATCGGTAATATATAATTATAATATGTAATGTATAATGTGCCATATATAATATATGACCACCTATGAATAATAAATACCCCCTCATGAATTTTTTACTCTAATTTTTTTCACTAATATTGAACTATTATGATGTTTTTATTTGACTTATTTGTATTATTTTTCAATAATATTTGTAATATTTTCATTGAGGTACTAAAAATTCTATTAAGTTATTAAAAAATATTATAAATGATATTACATTATATCTTTTGGTTGTTATTGTTGGTAGACCATTACAATATAATATTTTTAGACCTGTAATTAGTTTGGTTGATGCTAGGAGTTAATTTGAATCATTTATTATTTTTTCAAGTAGATTTTAAAATACTTTTGTTATGATGAACAAAATATTGTAACAAGATAATGCTTAATTCTTATTTGGGTAATGTCGTTTCTAAATTAGTATAAATATCTATGTGAATGATAAGATATATCAAATAGTTTTTAATATGTTTTGATTTTATTTGACTCATTATGATTTTTTTTGTTATGATGATCAAAATATTATCATTGATGAAAAAATATAATACTTTTTTGGTGGATAATTTAGTCATTTTCTTAATTAGAAAATTTATTTGAAAAAATAAAATAGGACACTATTAAAAAAAGAAAAATCCAAAATAAGCATTTTTTAGGAATATATATATATATATATATATAATTGAATCAAATCCGTCCGTGATATTTGATTGAACCAAATCTGGCCAACCGCTTTTAAGTACTGTATTCATCGGCGTGATCTCCTCCAACCGTGCATAATTAAGCGGAACTTCATTTTTCCCTTTTCTTCCCTCTGTCTTCGATTTCTTGTTCTCGAGACCACCAGACCATAACGGGCGACATGGCGAAGGAGGCGGAGGCGAGCGCGCGGAAGCGGAAGGCGAGCGACGATGTCGGCCCCGAAGGAGAGGAGCCCGCTATGCCAGAGCCGTCCCTCTTGGAGGTGGAAACCAAATCGGGGGAGGAGGCCTCCAATTCCAACCCTAATCCCCGCGATAACTTCCTCTTCGAAGACGACTACGGCTGCGCCAGCTTGTGCGACGACAACGTTGACATCATGCAACATTACTCCGACATCTGCGCCGTGGATGCCGTCAAGATTCCCTATGTCGGCGACAAGGTGAGCCGAATCCCCCGACCGTTGGATCTTAGCTTCGTTTATACTCATCTACAGATCTCTCGATGGAGTTTGTACTCTTTCGGTTGTTTTCTTTATTCCATTATTATCAGGTCGTGTTCATTTGCGGATGTTTTGGATGAAACATTTTCCAATTTTAGGATTGACGAAAATGGTTTTGCGCTGGATCTTGAATACGAAGTTGCTTACCTTTGTCATGTAATTGACAGCCAAAAAATTCAAAATCCCCAGACCCTTTTGGATCTTGGTTTCGTTCATACTCATCTACAGATCTCACGACGGAGTTTGTACTCTTTGGGTCGTTTTCTTTCTTCATTATTAGCAGGTCGTGTTCGTTTCCGGACGTTTTGGATTAAAGATATACCAATTTTAGGATTGACGAAAAAGGCTTTTGTGCTGGATCTTGAATAGGAAGTTGCTGACCTTTTTCGTGGAATTGACAGCCAAAAATTCAAAAGATTGTTTTGCCCTTTTTCAATTGAATGTGCAGCTTAAGGGAAATCTAGTGGTGATATCTCTTCATCTTTCTAATCTCTTTGCCATCATGGTCGATCAACTTCCCTTGTTTGATTCCGACCTTTGTTCTTTGGCACGGTTCATATTACATTAGTTTGAGGCTCTGATGAAGCGAAATTATAGAAATTCCAAAGTTGAAATCCAGATAGGTAGGGTTCAGTGGGCTTCCTGGCCAAACTATAGAATATATAACAAACTCAAGTTCCTCATATGATGTTGTACTGTTCCTTTTCTATCTCTGATTTCTTTTCAAGATCATGTGAAAAAGATTATACTTTCTTCATGGTTTGATTTCTTTTCTATGTGATATATCGTGCTGCATTAGTTTGCATTCAAAACTCCTTTAATAAGAGTTATTGCATTTTTATGTTGGAAAATTCTTATATTAGGTATTGTTGAGGAGTCACGAGCTCGAAATGATTCTTCTTGTCACTTAACTCCTTTGTGTAGTCTCTTCCAAGGTAGCTGTTTGATTTTATTCTCAAAATTGGTTTTGTGGACTCTTCTTTTCATATGCGGAAAAATATGTTATTGGTTGTAGATGTTAGACTGAGTAGAATAGCAAAGAATATGAAACGTTGGTAGATGATTCTTAGGACCTATGATCGATTTAGTTAAGCATGATAATACATAAAGGTAGACAAAATATACTCATGATCTTCACTTTATTTATGCCATTTCTATGTTTGATATGTTATTTAGAGCTCTTCCATATTTTATAATGAGAGGGTCTAAAATAAAATTCGATGACAGTGATAATTTTGAGTTTAAAAGGAAAAAATCTAGTGATGATGAAGTTCCACAGTGTATCACTGTAGTCAAATGTGCGAGGTGCTAATAGATCCCAAGGTGCCAAAATGTGAGACACTTGCAAATATCAAAATTAAAAAATATATAATTAAGGAGATGAGTGAGGAGGGGATGGGGGGTTGTCGGGTTCCGAGGAGGCTCGATGACTATCGTTCAGGAGAGGAGCTATTTGAGAGAAGGTGAAGGCGAAGGAGCAGGAGCAGGAGGGAGGGGAGAGGGTAATGGCAGAGGAGGAGAAAGATGATCTGTTTTGGGGAAGGATTTTATGATTTTGGACATTTCTGAGTGACTTTGTGCTTTGTGGGAGGATTGATAGGGTCGTTTGGAAGACGAGAGAACTTGAAGAGGAAAAAAAAATCTAGATCACTTCCTGAAGTAAAGGAATATCTAAACACGGATCTATGAAACTTTGTGAGCAACAAAGCTCGGACTTCTCGACCACAAGCTCTGACTTCTTGAGGCTGCAACTTGCTGTCGCTTCCCTCTTTGTTTTCTCTATGCTTTGTGTTTAGGAATTAGGCCTATCGACTTCTGGACCCCCTTTTGTGGATGTGGAGGGGAAGACTTTTAATTAAGGTTGAACTCTCAATTGAAGTCCAATTATCCTTCCAATTCGAGTCTAACTTGGATTGAATTGGGTTGACACTTTGAGCTAGCCGAACTTGAGCTATGATTTTGGGTTTGAGTTGGTCAAATCTGAATTGAATCAGTGTTTGACTTGAACTGAGGTTAAGCTGAATTGGAGTATGACTCGAACTGAGTTTGAGTTTGAGCTGAATTAGAGAATGACTTAAAGAATCTAGAATTGAATATGGGGAAACATTGCTTCATCGGCTTATTTTGTGTACCACCTTGCGGAACTCGACTTTTGCCCTTTGCATCCTACTCGGAAGGTTGTTTTGATGCCTCATCATTTAATAGTGTCCTTTTCGATGATGGTGTCTTTGTCTAGTCTTCTCTTGGGTGGTCACCAAATCATCTATCGAAGGTAGCATCTCGCTTGGCTCATTGCCCAGCATCAATGCTCAAATGCCTTCAAATTCTCGATGTTCACAACCATCTCCATGTATGGAGGTAACTTGAGTTGGCAGGTGTTGTCTCCAATCTGCTTTAAGACTTTGAATGGTTCATATTGGACGGGCTTGAGTTTTTTCCTTCAAATTATCTAAACTTTGCAAATTAGTTGGACATTAAATTGGAGGATGTCATGTTGCCCTTCAGATTTATTGTTATGGTGATCCAAGTCTGAAACAGTAATGACAGTTTTTAGGGATTTAATTTCAGTGGCAAATCAAACATAGTGATGCTAAGTTTTATTAAATATTTGAAACTTAGTGCGATCTGGAGTATAATTAGAAACATAAGACACTGTGTTCACCGGGACAAGTCTAATTTGGAATCCTCTCACCCAAATCTTAGCAATGTGGTTTTCATTTTAGGATGTGAAAAAATGTCCAAATACATTGTCGACTTGAAATTTCATTAAACGTACCAGATTTTACATGACTTGAAATAACTGATTTTTGTCAATAAGTATTTTTGATAAGATAATTTTGTATCATATTGCAGAATATGATCACAAAAAAGAATAAACTCTTTTCTTCTTCTGACCGAACAGGAACCTCTTTCCTCATTGGCCATTGAGTTTCAATCAGGCAGCCCCATTCTTCAGGAGAAGATCAAGGTTCATTGGGATGACAGACAATAGTTACTGCTGCTCTGTCAATTATCCTCATTCATAGTCCTTTTGGCTGATAGTTGTTAGATTTTTTGTGTCAATGTTTTTTTTAATGTGAAGCTCCTTGCTGAACAATATGCTGCATTGAGGCGAACACGAGGAGATGGAAATTGTTTCTATCGAAGTTTTATGTACTCCTACCTGGTAATCTGCTTGTCTTTTCTAAGAAGAGTTCTTGTTGTCTTTGTAATATTTGTGTTCTTTTTTTTCACAAAAGATGCTCTGGGCATGATCCATGAGTTGGTGATATTTGTGAGATGTGAAACTAGGAGCATATTTTGGAGACACAGGACAAAGCTGAGGTTGATCGTATTTTGGCAAACATTGAACAGTGCAAGAAGACACTACAAGTTCTTGGATATGCAGATTTTACCTTTGAGGACTTCTTTTCAGTAAGTGTTGTTACTTCCTATCCTTTGTTTCTGTTTCATGTATTCTTTTTCTGTTTGCACTGCGCATGTCACTGGTGAGCATACTGAAGTAAATGCTGGTGATTGATGCTATTGATATATGTCCTGTTAATTCTTTCATTTTTAAAATTTTGCAGAATTTTTTTAGGACTTATGCATCTTAATTTGTCCTAAAGGGTAAAGATGAACAATCTAAGTTTTCAGAACTGCAGGAACTGTTTTTATCTTTCTCACTAAAACATTTAGCCATTTAGGGATACCATCAGATGGCTCAGGGGAGGGAGAGAAGGTCTCAATGTGCTACAAGAATTCATTGCTTGGGAAGTAAAATAATATCTGATATCACTCTGTTCTTTTGTGTCATTGTATAATACATGGACCTAAATTGATCAAACATGCATTTTTTTGTTTCTGTGGTAAACAAACTTTCTGAAATCGAACAAGGAAATATCAATCAAGCCTTTACTTAGAAAGCCGCCTCTAGGATATATTTTGTTGTTTATCCACTATTGCCTCATAGACTGCCAATTTCCAGATGATTCATTGTTTGTTCTATTTCTAGCTCAGTATCTTCTCTGAATTGTAAGCCTCCACTTTGGAGGTATGTTTGCTGTGGGTAACTTGTCGATTACATTGTAACAACAGAATCTTTGTAAGCTTCCAAAGAGGTCGTTATGTGTTTTCTCCAACTATTAGATTTTCTGTTCTTTAATGGTCCTTTCTCATGTCATATGAATCTGATACAGAATTGACTAGATGTCAATAAACTTACTGTTTCTTTTAATTGTTCTTTTCTTTACAATTGTGCTTTTACTAGTTAGTTAATAACTTAATATAAATAATTCATGGCACAGCAGGGTTAGTTTGGTTGGTCCAATTTAAATTCTGTCACAGGGCTAGATCCTAGGCATATGATATTATATTTGGATTTCGAGGGAGCACTAGGCCCTAGGCTTATACATCAGGTGGCTTATTGGAGGGAGTGCAGGTTAATTGAAGAACAAATGCAGCAAAAGCTGGACTGAAAGGTGAACCACCAGCTCAGATTGGAAAGCTGAGTCACACCTTCCAACCGGCCAAATCTGCTCCATGGGTTGCCAACCTAACATGCCTCAATAAGGGCTTTGCCCAGGTTAAGGCATTAAGTAAGGTTTTTGAGAAGCCTAATCCTACCAATATTAGGTCCATAACATGAATTTTAATATGATAAGGGAGCCTGCAAGTCTCAAAATTCATTTGGTCACTTGATTGTTCAGAATAGTTTGGTTCTCTTCTACATTTGATTAATCATTTTTGAGTTTTGGAGGGTCTGTTCTGAATAATTTGGTACCAAGGTCATGCAGCTCCAGTAATATAGCCTATTTAGGAGGGTTGTTCATCATTTTGGTCTATGCTAAATTGGCTGGGCTATCATTTGGTTCATTTGCATCCTTATTGTGCAAGGGTTATGCTATGTAAAGTTGAATCTCATAGACTCCACAGTGGTGGGGTGGTTCTTGCATTGAGCTGCCTTTTTATTATGGTTCTGATATTGTTTCCTTCTATTATTTATTAATGCTATTTTATAAGGACTAAACCTGTAAACTGGGTAGCAAATTTTGGCTAGAGTTAATGGTTCTGATAATTTTTGAACTGAGGGATTCCTATCTGATTCAAATGTTTTGATCTTCTCCGATAGGAGAGGATAGGGTTTCAGTTGAAGTAATAATATAGTCTTTTTATCTTTGAAAAAAAAACTTGTAGAATGGTTAACTCTATGTTCTGCTTGTCTAACTCTATGTTACATTATTTGACTCCTATTATTGAATGCTAATGTAGGTATGGACTTGTGAAAACAATCTCTTATATCGTTTTTAAGGTTACAATTAAGAATTAGTTGTTAAGACTTAAGATACATGAACTAATGTTTAGTGTATTGTGTAGTTGCATGCATTCTACATGTTTATCCTCTAGTTTGATATTTATAACACTATTTTAAGTATGGATTGAAATATCAATTGGATGTTGTCAAAAGTAGAGCCTTCTGGTTTTCATTCTTTGATCTAATCTTCTCATATTTTTGTATATATTTCTTGAAGTAAGAGACTAATTTCCATAAACAACAGGAGAAAAAATGAGTCTCAGATATACTACTTGTTGCTTGCCAAATTGGACACTTTTGATAGCTGTATGTAATTATTTCCATTTCTAAATTTTACTCAAATTAGGTGAGGCATCATAAGTTAAAGCTTCCATCTAAATTAAATTTGATACATTAGGGCAGAAATTGTTTTTCTAACATAAAATTGTATTGAAGAAGGAAAAAGATTGAAGAAAAGAAAATTAAGTGACTCATGTGAGCCTGTCATAGGATGACTACAGAAACAATATAACATTATGATTTTTTCCAAGTATTGCAATAACTTGCTGCTAAGTATCAAAATTGTAGCGTGTACATTGTTGAAGTTGACATAAGGAGCATGACTTTGTATTTCGATACAAAAAATCGAACTACAAATTGGTGGATTTTCTATAGCCGGCAAACCCTGCTATGCTGCACTTGGAGTTATCAACTCCTAGTGTTAAGCTGGGTGGGGTTGTGAGACCCTATCATTGCTTCTGCCAAAGTTTTTAGGTATACATATGGGAGATAGTTGGGTTCTAGCTAAGTTTGGGCCATTGCTTAAGCTTGTCAAGCCTGTTATGTACTCACTTCCCTTGGAGATAAGCCTTGTCCCTAAGATGAACGAAGAATTCTTTCTGCACCTCATGATCCATCACTTTATCTAATACGGAGCATGGTCTACCACATCATTGACTCAACATCATAAATTATGGAGAATCTCCTTTAGAAGATGTGTGCGGTCTTCAATCAGCTTTGCAACAAGTACTGGTGTCACTGCAAGTTCTTAACAAACTTGAGCTTTAAGAACATGGAAAAAATCTCTTAGTGGAAGCACTCTACCCAAGGTAGGAGCTTTAACCACCTTAGGCTCCTTGCTTACATAGCAACAAGAAGTTGCTAGTCCATGATTCAGAATTTCGGATACAAGGATCTAGAAATTGGGTAAACTGGTATGTGCATATGGATGGTACCAATGATTTAAAAAGTGCTAGGTGCCAAGGTCCCAAAACGCCTGAGGTGCTAGGTGCTCGCTCGAGCAAAGTAAAGCACTCCGAAATATTAAAATATAAAAAATATATAATATAATTATTTAAATAAAATATGATATTAAATTTTAAAAATACTGTTGACAGTATATTACTTAAGTTAGAGAGGGGGAAAAATATTCTCTAAAATATTAAAGTATAAAAATAATATAATTATTTAAATTAAAATATAATATTAAATTAAAAATATATTGTTAATAGTATATTACTTAAAGTTAAGGAGGGGGGGGGGGGGGGGGGGGGAAAAAAAATTTTAAAATAAAAAAAGGGGGGAAAAGCAAGGGGGGGGGGGGGATTAAAAAAAAAA